CAATCTGAAACATCACCGATAGAGGCCGCTAAAAAATACATATAGCACCTTTAACAAGAACATGAAAAGACAAGAGCTGTGTCTGAAATCGCTCCCTATCCACTATATAGTGCACTATATAGGGTGTCGGCCATTTTGGAGTGGTGTCCGAATTCTGAGTGAACAACATCATTCCCTACATTCGTTCACTACTTTTACCCACAATCCTCTCTGATTTTGAGTGTACATCCGATGTACATCCGCCGTTTCCCAAGATCCAACGCGATAAGGCGATAGAGCGCGAAAGAAAAAAAAAGATGGCGGACGGCAACACCGGAGTCAACAACAACATCTGTTAGTGAACTGTATGTACAGTATTCACCTAACGTTACGTCTTAGAAAATTATGTATGTTATGTTCTGTGATTTATGTTCATGGACTGCAATACTGAACCAGTCCGCTAGGGGCGGAGAGACAGAATTGTATGTGGTGTTAAAAGTAAGAAAGAAGGAGAGTGAAGTAAAGTTTGGAAATGTTGTAAACAACTCGTCCTGTCTCCTTGTTTATTTTCTTTTCATTACAAGTCTAAACGTTACAAATTTTGGCGACGAGGATGTCTGCATCCGTACCCATGCCTGCATGTTTTCTTCCGACGGTAGGAGAGCCTGCTATACCGTTTTCTACATGGAAGAAAATTTTCCAAAACTACTTACTTGTCATCGGAGCGCGAGGTGACGCATGGCCTGATGCTAGACTTCGTGCAGTTCTTTTACATTGTCTCGGTACGGAGGGCCAGAGACTTTTCTATACGCTGCCAAACGGGGGTACAACTTATGATGAGGCCATGGTGGCACTTGATGCTCATTTCACGCCAAGAGTGAATGTTGTCGCTGCTCGACATAAATTCCGACAACGCGCACAGCACACAGATGAAACCGTAAGTCAATATATAGCGGAGTTACGTCATCTGGCGGTGGATTGTCAGTTCGGAGGAATGGAGGACGAAATGCTAAGGGACCAACTGATTGAACGGGTTTTTCTGGCCGCGGTGAGAGACAGATTGTTACTTGAGCCCGAACTTACATTGGAACGCGCTTCTGCGTTAGCGTTGCAAGTCGAATCGGCAGTACAAAATGCTACACTTCTTTCAACTACTGGTTCATATCCTGCCCAGGTTCAAGCCATCTCGAGGACAAAGGCCAGTTTCAAAAGAGGTAAACAAAAGTATGAAAAAATGTACAAACTGGGTACAAACTGGGAAGCCACAGACTTCAAATAAAAGACGCTGTTTTCGCTGTGGATCAAATACTCACTTGGCCAACGCACACACTTGTCCTGGTGCATCGGCCACATGTCATCAGTGTGGAAAGAAAGGACATTTTGCAAAGGTATGTAAATTTGCTGTTGTCAGAGAAGTGGTGGTGCCTGAACTGACTGTACTGTGTGTAAATCAGTCTCATGACAAAATTCGTTGCCAAGTACAGTTGGAAGCACCGCAAGGAAATAAAATACCACTTGAATTGATTGTTGATACAGGATCAAGTGTGTCCATCCTCCCAGAGACCCTGTTCATGAAACATTTAGCAAATTGTGAGCTGAAGGAACCTCAAGTGAGGTTAGTCACATACTCACGTGAACCCTTGCCAACCTTAGGCTGTTTCACTGTTCCTGTGTCGCATGATGGTGTTGCAACCACTGCAAATTTCTATGTGGTCAAAACGGGCTCACCACTTTTGGGCATGGATTTAATTAAAGCCCTAAACTGTCACATTGTGGGAGATAGGATTGTCACATTATCGGACCCTGCTGGTTCACCAGTGCTAGAAATATGTAATACAGCAACCAGCTCACCAGGATGTGTCAAAGGATTCGTGCACAAAGTGCAGATTGATGAGTCTGTGAAACCAGTGCAGCACAAACTACGCAGATTACCGTTGAGTGTACGGGAGGAGGTTTCCAAGGAAATTAATCGCTTACTGAGAGACGGAATAATTGAAAAGATTGATGCTTCGCCATGGGTGTCACCAATCGTCGTAACCAGAAAAAAGTCTGGAGAAATTCGTGTGTGTGTGGATTTGAGAGAGCCTAATCGAGCTGTAATTACTGACTGCTACCCACTGCCTCATATGGAGGATCTTTTAACAGAGCTTAGAGGCGCTACGGTGTTCTCCCAAATCGATTTGCAAAGTGCATACCATCAACTTCCTCTTCATGAGGTGAGTCAAAACTTGACGGCTTTCATCACACACGATGGGTTATTCAAATTCACAAAGGTTCCTTTCGGGTTGGCTTCGGCGCCCTCCGCCTTTCAGAAAATGATGAAAACTGTACTTGAGGGTTTACCAGGAGTACAGAACTACTTAGATGACCTCATCGTGTATGGCCAAAACAAAGCCAGCCATGACTCAAATTTACGGGCAGTGCTGACTCGACTCACAGACATTGGTCTGAAACTTAACATAAAGAAATGCAAATTCAGCCAGAGTAGGATTCGGTATCTAGGCCATGACATCTCAAAAGAGGGACTACATCCTAACCCTGACTCAGTTGAAGCCATTGCAAAGGCACCTGCACCAACCGACCTACCTTCATTACGGTCCTTCTTAGGTCTTACGTCTTGGTTTAGCAAGTTCATCCCGAACTATGCTATGGTAGTAGACCCTCTGCGGGAGATACTCAAATCATCGCAGAATGGGTTTATATGGACAGAAGCAGCTGAGGTGAGTTTTCGAGGACTAAAGCAGCTGTTAGTCCACAGCCCAGCCTTAGCTTTATTTGACCCCTCCTTACTAACAATTGTGTCCACAGATGCTTCCGATTACGGCATTGGAGGTGTCATCACTCAAATGTACCCAGATCAGACAGAGCGTACAATAGCATTCGCTTCTCGTACATTGACGCCAGCTGAAAGAAAATACAGTACAGTTGAAAAGGAAGCATTAGCGTGTGTCTGGACAGTGGAACGTTGGAGGACTTACCTTTGGGGCAGGAAATTTACACTGAAGATGGACCACCAAGCACTGACCACATTACTGGCCACCAGAGGAATGAACAGAGCAGGAATGAGGATAGCGCACTGGTCAACCAGACTCCTGTGTTTCAACTACAATCTGGAGTACAGACCAGGTAAAACAAATTGTGTTGCTGATTGTTTGTCACGCTTACCATTACCCGATTCAGATGCTGGTCAGGGAGAGGAATTAGGCCTGGTGGCAGAGCTTTCAAAGGACCTTTCAAGAGCCATTCCTATGAAGGAACTCCTGGAAGCATGCGAATCTTGTCCAGAGTTGTCCAAGCTGCATGCCCAAATCACACAAGGCTGACCTAGAACACAGAAACAAGTGGATCCAACGATCGGGGCATACTTTCAGATCAGGCATGAACTTGCTGTGGATGATAAGTATATTTTGAGAGGGCAGAGACTAGTTGTGCCAGTTGCTTTGCGCTCTAAATTCATTCACTTAGCACACGAGGGGCACCAGGGAGTGGTACGAACTAAGCAACGGCTAAGAGACTTGTACTGGTGGCCTCGTATGGACTTGAATGTGCATTCAACCATTGCTTTTTGTTCTGCCTGTCAGTCCTGTGACAAAACCGCCCGGACGTGTCCAGCTCCATTGCAGCCAGTGGACCTTCCAGATGGTCCCTTTCAGAAAGTTGCAATAGACATTGTAGGACCTTTTGAGAGAGCCACACAGGACTGTCGGTTTGCTATTACGATGGTGGATTATTATAGTAAGTGGCCGGAGGTTGCATTTACCTCAAATGTTACAACCAACACCGTTACAAAGTTTCTAGCATCTGTGTTTGCGAGAGAAGGTAACCCACTCACCTTAGTCAGCGATAATGGTCCTCAGCTAACTTCTTCTGCATTCGCTGATTTCCTGGCTGAAAGAGGAATAAAACACATTCGCTGCAGTGTTTACTGGCCCCAAGCGAACGGTGCTGTGGAGAGATGGAATCGAGTTTTAAAGAACTGCATCCAAGTAGCTGAAATGCAACAACTTCCATGGAAACAAGCAGTCACAGATTTCCTCTTGAACTACAGAGCTACACCGCACGCAACCACAGGCGTATCACCTTTTGAACTGTTAAGAGGGAGGAAGATGCGCACAAAGCTAAACACTCTGTCAACCACAACAGTTCAGGGTGAGAAAGTGACGATGGGCATACGTGACCGTGTACAGCGGGTTCAGCAAAAGATGAAACTGTACACCGATAAGAAACGTGGAGCAAAACCACCACCCTTCAAGTGTGGAGATCGGGTACGTGTAAGAAAACCTATGCATGTACCAAAGGCTGGAAGGAAATTCACTGTTCCAATGGTAGTGAATAAGAAACTGGGACCAAGCACCTATGTCTTGAGTGATGGGAAGAAATGGAACGCGACTCACTTGTCTCTGGTTCCAGAAAACACTCAAATTGCATTAGAGAATGCTCAGGTTAACCCTGGAACAGAAAATATTGTGCATGAGCCAGTTAAGAGTACACGGGTTAGACAGCCCCCTCTATGGTTAAAAGACTATGCTACAGAGTAAAGGTAAACGAAAAGAAAAGAGTGAATGAAAGAACACTAGTGTTGTAGTACGGAAGTAACTGAAAATAGATGGTGAATGTGTTCATGTGTTTATGCATATGTTAGTTAATCGATAGGTTCTAAGATACAGAAGTAAAATGTATGGGTTAAGGGCATAATTCATAAGTGGATGGAAATTGGACTGAATAATCCCACTTGTTAAGAGTCTTTCCTAAAAGAAAGAGGGGAATGTTATGTTCTGTGATTTATGTTCATGGACTGCAATACTGAACCAGTCCGCTAGGGGCGGAGAGACAGAATTGTATGTGGTGTTAAAAGTAAGAAAGAAGGAGAGTGAAGTAAAGTTTGGAAATGTTGTAAACAACTCGTCCTGTCTCCTTGTTTATTTTCTTTTCATTACAAGTCTAGACGTTACAATGTATTGACGAATTTGAATTTGCTTTAGGGACAGATGAGGACATAAGACTTATCATTGTTAAAAGAACAGCCTATGATAATCTCTTTTCTGGGCAGAGAAACGCTGCTCAGCATGGATGGGAGTGAGTTTCAGAATCAAACAGTTTAATTATAATAATACGGTTTAATTGATGTGTATTTATTAATGTGTAAATTACATTACGTTGTATGTTCTACAGAACAGTGCTGAAGGAGATAGGCCTGCTGGGTGAGGTATCCCCTGCCAGAGTGGCCAAAAAGTGGGAAAATTTAAAAAACAAATACAAGGTAAGATATTTGCTTGTAACTTTACTCCCTGTGCAGAATCTGAAAAATCTTTTTTTTAATAATTCATGAATTGTAAATTTGTAAATGCGAACAGAGATGCTAAGGGGAAAATATGTTTTATCCCTGGATTTGATCCAAACCAGAAATCATTTTTTACAGATCTCAAGCTAGAGACCAAATATGACTTTCACAGACATTTCACAGCAATTCATTTATGTATAGTGCCAATTTATGGAGAGCTCCACCATACAGAGATGTATTGTGGATTAAATATACATAATTGTTCATGAATGTTATATATTTGGTAGGTCTGTGCTGGCTTGAGATCTGTAAAAATGTAAAGCATCTCTGTTCACATGTTTGTACTGACTGTCATTACTTTGCCCCAGCTGATGGTCACAAATATGGCAGATGATCGTAAAAATGTGTATGACAGAAGCAGATGGATTTGTTTTTGCCTATAATTATAACAAAACTCTTACTCATCTGTTGGGTTATACATCATTTTTAGGAGCTAAGAAAGCCACCGACTGGTATTGGGACTGAATCAGGAGAGTCTACTGCAGGAACATGTAGTAGGTTGGACCTCATGAACGAGGCAATAGGTGGGAGGCCCCCCATCCTAATGGCCTCATCAGAGGAAGACTCCATTGTTCCTGCAGTGAGTTCTCTTGGTTCAGTCCCTAAGGAACCAGAGCAGCAGGGCAGGAGAGAGAGTGGCGAGGCAGGGCCAAAGAGGCAGAGAAAAGATCCACTACTGGATTTTTTAGAGAGGGAAGCTGAAAGAACAGAAGATACAATGAGAAAAGAGGATATGAGAGAGGAGACTCTTCTCTCAATTCTGGAGAAAATTGTTGAAAAAATGTAAAATCTTTAAATTGATTATATAAACATGTAACCTTTCTTTTAAATAAATAATTTTGAGTTATAATGTTTTTTTGTGTGTGTGTTTAAAAATTATTTAATTCTAATAATAATATAAACTGTTAGAGAAAATTGACAATATCATGTACATCTAAACACATTAAGATTTTAAAGTAAAGGCAAGTACTTATGAACTGCAATACATGTTGTAAATTAGCTGAAATGTTAATTAAAATTGGAAAAAATAACAAATACATATCCAACCTAAAATAATTACACTAGTTTAGTTTTTTTATTTAATTGCATACTAACTAATTATCTAACTATAATACAAACGTGGTTGTAACATATTTTATAAATAATCATGATGTCTTAGGGCATCATCTCTCTGGTGTGTCTCTGGTGTGTTCTCCACTCTGTGACTCTCTCACTTGCAGGTCATCAGGATCATCAACATTCAGTTGTCCTTCCTCTGGCTCCATGATATCACCATTTGTGATGCAGATGTTACAACAAGTGATGACCTCTGGAGCAAATTCTGGCTTGACTTCAAGGGCCTTAAAGAAAAGTGACCGCCATCGTGTTTTCAAAATGCCAAAGGATCTCTCAATGATGGATCGAGCTTTCGAATGGTGTAAGTTGAAGCGACGCTGACTTGGATTTTGCAGTGGCTCTCTATATGGAGTGATGAGAGAGATTGGGTGGCTAAGACAGGGGTAACCTCCATCTCCAAAAATGTGGTATCCCTCTGGTGGGTACAGTGCCCTCGAATAAATAGTGCTGTTTCTGAGCACTCGAGAATCATGGACTGATCCGGGGTAACCCACAAAAATGTCCAGGTATTTACCTTGGTGGTCACAGAGTGCTTGTAACTGTATAGAATAAAATAGTTTTCTGTTTAAGTAGCACATAGAATCAGCAGATGGAGGCTTGATTCTAGTGTGACAGCCATCAATGCTACCAGCAACTGAACTAAAGACAGGACTGCCAGCCAGGTTTGCAAAGCCTGTGCTGATTTCCTCTAGCTCCTCTAAAGATGGGAAGTGAATTACTTTGGATTTGATTTTGAGGAGCAGTTTTGAGACTTTGTGGACAATCATGTGAACTGTTGAACGGGCCATATCAAATGCTCTGCAAACAACCCAGTAAGAAGTTGCACTTGCGAGCCAGAATATGAAGACCAGAATTTCTATATCCTGAGCCCAACCATGATCACGATCCTCACGGAGTGTGTTAATGAGGTAGGTCAGTGTTTGCCTGTTAAGACGAAAGTCTGGCCTCAGGTCACATCTCCTATCCAGGTACAACCTGAGGACAGGCACTGATTGGTTCAGCAGGGAGTATGGAGCTCGAGTGCCAGACTGAAAAGAGTAAATATACTAAAATGGTCAATAATGATGTTTATGTCAACGTAATAGGATGCATTAATCAAAGATAATATTAAAAAGTGTTATATAAAATTAAAGATCTTGATATGATGTGATCATATCACATCAGCATATTAATAAATATAATTTATTAAAATGTTATATATTTAAAAAAAATAGCTACATCCAGCTGCAAATTAAACAAAAAAAATTTAAACTGAATTGATAAATGTTTGTTTCTTAGAGGAAGTTAGGCCAGTAGGAAGTACCTCATCTTCAGTTTAGTTAATTGCTGAATGTGTACTGTATAATATCTTTCTTACCGATAGGTGGCATCTGCGAGCTAACAAAGCACGCGTTTGAGCTGTTGCTTTTCCTGAAAAAATCAGTTTTCTTCTCCTCAGGAAAAGACATAGACAGTAAAAGAAATGGACAGAGCCATCTCATTGGAACTCAGTTGAGACAGTTGAAGCCCATTTTTAGCGATTTTTGAGCACTTCCGTTCCTGACGCGCAGACTCAAACCGACTCAAACTAAGCTTGATGACGTGAGCAACCTGTCTGACAGACGTTAATCTTCTAGTAGCTGTGCCAAGAGGAATCTGAATCATTCCCTTCCGAAACTTGCAGAGCCGGAGATCGTGAGTATTAGCTGTCCATGAGCTCGCAGCAGGAGCAGCTTTACAACTCTCTATGGGCTTCTCCCTTGACTTAATGCCTCGACGTCCCCCCGATTGCGCGCGAGTTTCTACTTCTGTCTATACGGTAATTTCTGTACAGCGCGACAGAGAGTCGAGTGGTTATGACGCAATCGTTAGCCTATTTTTACTAAATCTGTTTCTACGGGGCCATAACGTAACATAGAAGGTAATGGAGCCTTTTATACATTGTCGTGTTTCTTTAGAAATAAATAATGGACAAATGGAGTCTTTAAACGCCTCAGATGTAAAGTTATTCGCTGTCAAAGTGACGCCAAAATGAATGGGAGTCAATGGAAATGCTAACGCAAGTGAAGTTCTGCTACAAGATGGCGGCACCCGGCCGACTTCAACTTCCGGTCGATGGATTACCCCCTTGGGAAAAGAAGTTTCATCAGAACGAAAACTAACAGGATGGAGTACATTTTACGACAGGTTTACCTCAGGAGTCAGCTGAAGGACACTGACTGGAAATCCCGCGAAAATAATGTTTAAATAACAGGTTTTTGTTGACCGTTTAAAAAAAATTTTTTATTTATATACCGTTATATTTATATTTTTTATGAACAAATGTGTTGTGTAGTGTTTTGTTCTCTTTGTATTTTTAAATATATGTAAATAAATATGACAAACAGGTGTTTTTATTATCTTTTTTATCAAATAATGCAATAAACATTAAAAATGAGCAGTTACATACAATTCATACAGGCAAAAAAAGGAAATATTACAGATTTGTAGGTAAAGTTGTATGAAATTGTCCGCGCTCTCTGGCGCATGATAATTATGTCAGCGTCCGAATTCGCTCACTCATTTTCGTTCACTCTTCGCTGATGTAGTGCACTCAACTGCCATTCACTATATAGGGATTAGTGAAGGAGTGAACAAGTGAGCGATTTCAGACACAGCTAAGGTATTACATGGACATTAGATGGAACATGAAACAATTAGGGTGCTCGAGCCCCTGCCCTATTTCAAAAGTAATCAAAAGTGCCCTTCTCAAACCAATATCAATGCTAATAGTGGTAAATAAAACAAAATGCATTTGATTATAATTAACATGACAAGGTGTACAAAACTAAAGTAGCCTAAATTCACGTTTATTTTTAGTTTCTGTCAGTCTGAGGTGTCGTTGCTAATTGCTATGGGTTGCGTCCATAGACTGTAAAAAGGTTGTTAAGTTGCTTAACTTGCGTCAAGTTGCGTGTGTCTTGCTTCGGTCGTGACCATAGACAGTAAAAGAAATGGACACAGCGACCCGATAGACTTCAGCGGAGAAAAGTGAAGTCAATTAAGCACTCACATCCTGATGGCTGAGCGTTCTGTGCAGGATCAAACTGAGCTTGACGACGTAGATGTGACATGAGCAACCTGTCTCACAGTTGTAAGTCTTCTAGTAGCTGTGCCTAGAGGAATCTGAATCATTCCCTTCCGAATCTTGCAGAGCCGGATAGCGTGAGTAGGAGCTGTCCATGAGCTAGCAGCAGGAGCAACTTTATGACTCTCTATGGGCTTCTTCCTTGACTTTATGCCTCCACGTCCCCCCGATTGTGTGCGAGCTTCTCCTCCAGTCTATACGGTAATTTCTCTACTGTGCGACAGAGAGTCGTGTGTTATGACGCAATCGTTAGCCTAATTTTACAAAAACTCCTTCTTAAACTCCTCCATAACGTAAGATACAAGGTAATGGAGCCCATTGACGTGTTTCTTTAGAAATAAACAATGGACAAATGGAGTCTTTAAACGCCTCAGATGTAAAGTTATTCGCTGTCAAAGTGACGCCAAAATGAATGGGAGTCAATAGAATGCTAACAGCAGGTGAAGGCTTGCTAGCCAATGGCGGCCCCCGGGGAGGCTTCAGTTTCCGGCTGGTGGATTACCCCATTGGTCTTGACTGACGGGGGCAGTCTCCGTTTTCGAAGGTCTAAAACTCCGGAGTAGTGTGTGGACGGCAGGCATGACCGTAGCAAAAGTTATGCATTTTAAAATGAAAATGCACTAGTGTAAACGTAGGTATCACACAGTCTGCTCGGGAACCGATGCTCTCGAGCCAAATGTGGTTCTTTCAGTGAGTATATGGCTCGACGGCAGAAAAAACTTTTTTTTTTCAATAATAAAAGGTTGTGTGTCGATTCAATTAAAAATCCACTTATCTAATACTTTAAAATATTACATAATTCATTGAAGCCTGTTTGTCATGTATAATACACCGACCAATGGTCACCTGGCTCAACAAGTTCAAATTTCATTGGACAATGTGAAGTGGAGCGGTCATTTTTCAGTCATTTATAAATAAATCGTTTGAAAATTACATTCACTGAAAATAAAAATTGAAAATGGATGTTAATAGACTTTGGGATCGTTTCGTCACAATGCATTGTGGGAATCACGGTACGGAAGTAGATGTACTGTATAGTAGGCACTGCAGTAGGTAATTAAAATTGTAGCGTTGGTCATTTGATAATAGGTTTAATTTAGGTTATTTTAAGGAAAATGGTTCAGTAATGCTGTATTGTAAACTGCTGTAATCGGTCTCACGATCGACAGGGCAAACACCTCATAAATCATGTTAGTTTTCGCCATTTTTCAACTTGGAAAAAAACATAAGGAGACTTGGTGTCTGAAATTACAAAGAGGATGGCTTGGGTCGCCGCTGTACGGAGGAAAACCATCACCTTCGATAATATTTCCAAATACATGCTTGTTTGCTCACAGCACTTTCACAAAGGTAAGGTATTATTATCAAAGCTGTGGTCTTTTTGCTGTGCTTTGTAGTCAACTCCGTTAGCATCGTGGCTAATCGCGATTAGCTGTTAGGCTAACGGCTAACTGATATTTTTATGACATGGTCAATAGATATTCAGCTGCCAGAGTTAACTAGCTAACTGCATTTACATTGAATGTATTCATTTAGCAGTTAACTAAAGTTCTGCTGTTCAGATTGAGTATAAAATTAAGAGAAGCAAGTAAACATTAGTGCAAATATAAACAGTAGTAAACAGTAGGCTATACAAAGTGCAACAAAAAAAAGTCACAGTAGTGCAAAAATACAAAACAGAGCAGCATGAAAAAAAGACCCTGACGTCTAAGCAGGGATAACAACAACAGGATTATTCAAAGTTGGCATTCAAAAACATCAGCTGTCTGACTGATTCTGCTTCTTTTTTCAGACATGATCTGTCCCATCTTGCTGAAAACTCTTTCTGATGTAACAGATGTTACCACAATGCAAAGCCTTCCCAACATAAGTTGGGTCAGTCTGGGGTAAATCAGTGTCCGGTTTTGCCACCAGAGTAGTGGGTTGGAGGACCTTGGTTGCAGGGGCTCCTCTGAATACGACCGAATTTCCAAAACAGCCTCTGCTGAAGAACTTGAATTTGTCACAAGACCTGCAACTTGTTCATCGAAGTCACCCCACACTAAGCTTTCTTGTGTTACTTGT